CAAGAGCAGCATGCGCGCACCGCATTATACGCGGCAAGTACTTAAAAACTTTGAATATATTAACTACAACCACCACAGCAATGTGTAGGCTTGAATGACCCCCCCTAAATGTGTCATTTGATCTAGTACTAGGCTTTTGTGCAGATGGCGCATCGTCTGACAACCGGAAAATATCTGCAATTCTGGAAACAGACAAAGGTCAAGAGCAGCATGCGCGCACCGCATTATACGCGGCAAGTACTTTAAAACTTTGAATATATTAACTACAACCACCACTGAAATGTGTAGGCTTGAATGATTTTCCTACTTGGTTTGTGGTGATAGATACTCATGAATTCTACAACTAACACTGTGGTACGTATCGCGTAGATGATAAAATAACTTCGAGACAGCTCAGCACAACAATTGCCTAACCGAACTAGAGCATTGACAGCTCAGCACTTACCACCGATTAAGTGAAAAGTCGCACACACGACTCGCGCAAAGTATAACAGTTTTTTTTTAAATATTTTCTATTAATTTCCACTAAATCTCGGAAACTTTTCGCAGAAGACTCTATCCTGCTCAACTTAAGCATCATACTGTGATGACGATGTCTCTCCACCGCGACCTATTCAAGGGAAAGACACAATTCAAGGTAAGCAACAAATTTTGAAGCAAAGTAGACTTTTATGCCCTATAAAACGCAAACAAGCTAAGTTTTAGCTGTCAACAAAACAGCAAGATAGGTGGCTACTAAAGTGCGGCATTTCAACAGCAACAAAAATATAGATCCCCAAAAGACGAGTGAAATATGTTCTGGATGAGCCGTGCACAACATACCAGTCCAGTTTGTGTGTTGGAATGATCCGGGCTTCTCTAGAAGCTCGTATGTGTGGGCACCGAAGTAGTCACGTTGTGCCTGCAACAAGTTCGCGGGCAAGCGCTCGGCTCGGTAGGAATCGTAGAAGGCCAGCGCAGTGGAGAAGCAAGGCGTGGGAATACCAGCCTTCACTCCCTCGATCACGGCTTGACGCATACCCTCCTGGGAGTCTTGAATGGCCTGTTATTATGGCAAAACAATCACACAATGTCAAGGTATGTTGGATATAAAAGTTTGGAAACGGTAAAGAGGAAAGGGTGATATTAGGTAGTGTCACGGTACATGCGATTACTAGTAAATCACTCTTGCAAATATCTAAAAAAGAAATAGATCACAACGAACAGAACTTTCACACCTTGTTGAAGAAGTCGTCTAGAAGCAAATTGGTCAAGTCAGGGTTCTTCTCGTAGGCTTTCTTGATATCACCCAAGAAGACGGAGCGGATAATGCAACCTCCACGCCACATCAGAGCGATCGAACCGTAGTTGAGGTTCCATTTATACTGTGCGGCGGCCTCTCTTAGAAGCATGAAACCCTGCATTGCCAAATATAAGTATTTAGGAAAAGTGCCACACAAAATTAAAGTGAACTGAAACGAATAGTAATAAAAATTATGCATCTTTGGCAATATTAAAGTGACAGGGTTCGACGCAAGAGAAACAACAGGTTCTGAGGAACACAATCCGAAATGACAGGGCACAGCCACAATAATAACACCATAAATACAGATAAGGGGCGGGAGGGCATACCTGTGCGTACGAGATAATCTTGGAACCGTACAGAGCATCTCGCAGATTGTTTAGAAACTGCTGCTTGTCACCCTTGAAACTGGGGGTGGGTCCGCTCAATTTCTTGGAGGCAATGACACGCTCATCCTTTAGTGCAGAGATGCAACGCGCGAAGACAGACTCTCCAATGAGGGTCAAAGGAATACCTGAAAGGTTTACGAAAAGGCATAAAGTGTTTAGGAATCAGTATACTCCACGATAGGCCAATATTCAGATTCCAGGATGCGATCCGATTAATTGATACTCGAAATGAGCATATGAAAAGAAAAGTCCAGTGCATCACTTATATCATATACGCGAAAACAAAGATGCTAGAATAGGAACCAAATATAGCCAGACAATGGTTTCTGTAGACGTGCAGACTTCTAGGTCGGTCGGTTGTCACTTACCCATATCTAGGGCAGCAATTCCGGTCCACTTTCCGGTTCCCTTCTGACCGGCAGTGTCGCGAATCTTCTCAACTAAGGCGGTGCCATCAGTGTCTTCGTAGGCAAGGATATCAGCTGTGATCTCCATAAGATACGAATCCAGCACACCCTTGTTCCACTCACGGAAGACCTGTTATGACGTGATGAATAACGACTTTGTATAAGACAGAAGCCAGAATGAAACGAAACACCAATACTGCACTCAGAATACACATACACGTATATGTATACAAGCACAGATTAGATACGTATTGACAAACGCCCCCACACCACAAGTCTATCGTCGTCAAGCAGCATGTATAAACAAAAAATACAGCAGGCGATCAACACCAAAAAATGCGAGGAAGTGAGATAGCAGGGCTTGCGGTCTCTTGCACACGTAAGCACAGAAAGAAGCTGTGCTAACCACACCTCACAAAAGTACACAGGCACTGCAAATACCACCCCAAGTAAAGGCGACTATCGTGTGTACCTAAAACAAAGCCAGTATACCTAACCCTATTCACTACGAAGTACTCAATCCAGAATTAAATCGCAAACACAAGGGAGTAATCAACCAGGATACACTTACTTCCGCCATCTCCTTGCAGGACATGCCGAGAACCTCCTTCATCTGCTGGTACGCCTCACAGATGAGCTGCATGTCTCCATACTCGATACCGTTGTGCACCATCTTCACGAAGTGTCCGGCACCACCCTCTCCTACCCAGTCACAACACGCCTCACCGTCAGACTTGGCAGAAATGGACTGCAGGATCTCCTTCATGTGAGGCCTGTGAGAAGTGCGAGGAAGACGATATGAATTTGGATGTGAACCGACGTATACCCGAATGAAATGCAAATCCAGTCTAAAATTGTCGGGCAGGTATACTGAACTACAGAGAAAGTACGTTTATGAATGTTATACGACAGTATGACAAGCGCATTGCGTGTAACACGTTACCTGAAAATACTAGAAAAAGCAGGGTTGTCACTCTCAAGTCAAACTAAAACATCGACCACATACAAGTCTCGCACCACAACTAACATGCACAAGCAACGCATAATGTTGAGACAATCTAAGTAAACAAACGAACAATGCCTGAGAAGACATACCAGGCCTCGGGGTCACCTCCAGGCATCATAGAGGGACCGTAGCGGGCACCCTCCTCACCACCGGAGACACCACAGCCCATGAAACGGATACCCTTGGTCTGCAGGTACTCGTAACGACGCTGTGAGAAGAACATTAAGCCATTAGTATAAGTGTTTATTAGAAATATTGATCCGAGTAGTACACTGACAATGAGAACGACGTTTAGAATTTGTAGTTGCAGTCATGTCTAACAAATAACAAATATAATCGCCTTTGCAGACCAAAGAAATTGCAGACAAGCAATTCAACTCGAATAAATTTATTGAAAACTGCAATAATGGGTGCCACAAAAGTACTCGGCCGGCATCAGGAACTGCGAAGGATGGCTAAGAATGATATCAAAGTGTACGATACGCATACAGAAAGACATAGATAGGTAAGATGTTACACCAGTGTGGCGGTCGACAATACACTGAACACACGATACCATAATTATATTGCACACCGTACACACCTGAGTGTCGGGGAAATGAGAGTTTCCACCATCAATGATGATATCACCCTTCTCCAGGAACGGAAGCACCTGCTCAATGAAGGCATCTACTGGCTTACCAGCCATGACGAGCATCATCACACGACGAGGGGTCTTGAGACTCTTGACCATCTCTTCAACAGTCTGTGCACCAACCACATTAGTTCCCTTAGCCTCTTTAGCTAGGAAATCGTCTACCTTGGATACAGTGCGATTGAACGCTGTGACTGTGAACCCGTGATCGTTCATGTTGAGGATCAAGTTCTGGCCCATTACGGCCAGACCAATTAGTGCGATATCGGAACTGTGAGACAGTAGGAAGTATGGCAAAATGAGTATGGATGCAAATAAGGTGAAATGAATAGAATATGGATGCAAATAAGGTGAAATGAATAGAAATATTTAGTTTATTCAGCGGTGTTAGACGTACTCTATGTTATCTTATACAGCAGAGTTCGCGCTACATACCGTATATAAATTGTTAGGTAGGATAAATACATAGATATTGATAGCTCAATTTGTGGGGTCAGATCGTGTCTGTAGGGTTTAATGGAAAGACAACAGGAGCACGGGGAACCAATTGAAACAGTGTTTTAGACGTAAAACAATCTGTTTCACTCTTCCTTTACTTCCTTTACAGGAGGTGCGACAGATATTATGATAATGAGCGAACGCATCATACGTGAGAAGGAACACCCTGATGAACAAAATAGTTGTTGGTCAACTTCAATCCTATTTAGATCATATAAAACTGCGGTTAGGGCGATTGAAAATGCAGAGCTTGGCACATAGTTTTATACACAACTGAACACTTTGTATCAAATCAAGGATTACAGGTGAAGTTATTCACTTAGAAGCGTTAAGCGTCCTCAGCTCTTGTAACGTAGACACCGTAAAGAGAGTGCAGTCAAGCATCAATGATAAGCCACAATCGACCACACAAATCCATCGTAAATCTTGTAAGTGTATACTATGCAACCATGCATGGATACATGAACACAGAAGCTTAACTTAACCCGATAATTGCAACCATATGATCTACTACACGCTCTAGTTGTTTACCTCATATTGTCTTGTGATTGGCGTACTACTGGCATAACAGAACGGCGCGCGTTCACTTTTGTTTATTTTCGCGCGTCACAAAGTCACAACCTCGCAAAATTTTTAAAAAAAATTTAAAATTCTCTATTTATGGCGTCTCCGATCCTGATTCGGATTGTAATATTATTAATTTTTAAAATACGTATTGCTGTGCATTGCGTAATATTTTTTAACGAGTTTCCTCTCCGTCGTGACTCTGAAAACAATTCATATCAAAACTCTGTACGGAATCAGTTTCCCAGCCATTTTACGTAAACTACATTTATTTAAATATGTCGATGTGCATGCGAGTTAATTTATCACACAGAGGCAATCATAGGCTCAGCCGAATGACAGCCGCTCATGGGCTCTTTTTTAATTCATTGCGCTCGCAATCCGCATGCGCACGTCGACATAAAATAATGTATAATATGTATGGTTGTATGGTTGTATGGTTGTATGGTTGTATGGTTGTATGGTAGTATGTAATCAGGTATGTTATTTTCGATTCTATTTGATTTCAATCTCATGATCGATCGATCCCATTCTGACCCCATACAGCAAGCAGTTGTACGGTCAAGCGAGTGGACTGTGGACGGGCTTTTAAAAAAGGACAAAAGTCCAAACTATTCCCGTCGTTTCTGTGCCGGTCTGCCGGAGACTCTTGCCGCATCAGTCGAATTGCTTACAATTAAAACATACGGCACTCTCTCTAGTGCCTCTAAATAAATAGAAGTTATAACAAGGGTAGGCTGCACGACTCGTGTAAAAACATGTGGTCTTGACTTTACTCGTACTGATCGCTTTGATTCTATTGTTTCGCACTTGCGTACTACACTTTTATTCCGCACGGCTATATGCTGTATAATATTATCCATGTTTGACGATATATCGCGTCAAAGTACCTCTTATCAAGTTAAATGTATATAATTCGCTTTATTTGGGGCTCAACCGGCTCTATCCTTGTTATTACTAATATTTTCCAATGTTGAGTGTCTTGAGTTTTTTTGTCTTCGTGTTTGTATCAACAAATACGTTGCCCCATTGTAGTAGCGGGTAGGGATACCTTAAATTGCGTAAAAGTATACAAACACTACAACGTGTGCCAATTGTAGCAACCTGTTATTTCAGCTCATACTATGGCAGCTATCCTGAAACGTCGCCAGTGTTAGACCGCTATTCGCATCCGAGCATGCTTTCAAGCACACAGTTAAGGACCTTATACTACCTCGAATCTCGAGAGTACCTCGTCGATCTTCGACAAGCAGGTCGGGCAGGAATCTCCGTTCGTAGCCATCCCCATGGCACTAGATAAATGTGCCATAAATATCGATAATCAGTACCGTTGTAGATACCATCGTAAGGGATTTAAGACTTGTTCATACCGAAATGGACAACGCGTACTCGTACATGGCAACCGCACTGAAATTACCCGGTTTTCCTTAACTTTCGTGCGATTGCAGTGCTATAGCCTCAGGACACACCCACACCTCTAAATTTTGCACACACACACACACTCAGCTCAGGCAAACCAGAGAGTGGCAGAAACCCACCGGTATGCATATTCCAATCAAAGCCACGAAACCGTGCAGACAGCACCCTAAAACACCCTAAAACACACAAAATTCCCGGACCAAAAAGGGAATGGTAAAAAACATAGCATACAAGCTTATACTATAATTTGTTCAACTCCGTAAAATGGACTCACCAGTTGTGGCATAGCACACAGTGCCCGCACGGCTGGAACTCGGCCGAGCGAGGAGCCGAACAGCAAATTACGCACAGCGTATCATTCTCTGTCGGACTTTCGGCTGCTAGTTTCACCGGGGACACTACACTTTCTCCTATATCACTTGTCATTCTATCAAGGCTGTATGTAATAAGAATATAAATTAGGAATTGAGTACAATACAATGCACAGTTCGCACATAAGAGTGGACACAAGGTGTGGGCGACATCACATACCAGTTTGATGAATTTTGAAACCACACACAGCATAGAGTCTGTCGCTTGATCACGGGCCTGAAATATTTAAATACCTCTTCTTTTTGTTGAAAGCAGTCAAATTGAAGTCGCCAGTCCTTACACCTTCCGCTAGCAAATACATCTCTTCCAGCCTACCCATAGCTTCAGACATAGTGGGTCGCTTTGTGGCGCGTGACTTGGTGCAGTGCAAAGCCAAATTCAAGAACCTAAATGCCGTGTCATATATACAGATTTCAATATTAAAAGGCGATATACACAACTTGCAAAATATACCGTTCGTGCGTTTTCATACATACATAACAGTAAGCTTTGCGTAAGAGTTGGCGCATTAGGATCTCTCTCACAAACACTTTGATTGCGTGATAAGAAAGGAATTCTGTACGCAGAATTGAAACGCATACTACACAATCAGAAACAATAATAGTCGCAGAATAGAAGTTTGTCGAAAGTATAAGGGCAAAATCTCGTCTCACCTTGTCACCTGATCTAAGGGCCAATCACCGTCACTGTGTATGCCATCCATCACGTTCCGAACTCTATCGGGATCTATAGAAACATTGTCAGACGACGTGTACCGTTGAAGTTGGGCCAGCTCCCTCTCCCGCACCTAAACGTGTGATAGAAGATATTTTGACCATGGTTCAAGCGCAGTCTCCGGAACAACGAAGCACAGCTACCCGATATTTTCATACTACAACTAGCTGTGCACCTCGCCAGTGTTCGACCTTCAAGTCGCAAACGACGTCAGTGCAGGCTTGGTACGCAAGTAATTAAATTTACTTGTTGACTGTACAAAGCGTTGGAGATACAGCTTACACTTGCATAACATTCACAAAAATTTCCCGTGACAACCAAACACACTTGCGCCTGATCTGCTTTTAATTTTCGATCTCCCAACCTGGTGTATTTAGGTCTGCGACCGGGACTTGCATGGCAATAGTAAAACCTTGTGTAGTTAGGTCTTCAACACTTGCATGAAAATGCACATCTCACATAAATTATCAACTTTTGCATCTCATACCGTGTCAAATTCTATCTGCTGGTTCCCGGGGGCTTCCCTCTCGGTGTACATTTTTTCGAGAGCAGTCAACGTGGAGCCAGAAAAATTCTTCTCGCCACTTACATCTGTGCTCATGCTGACTCGCTGCCTACTCTTGAAGTCTCCACACCGGAACTATAATACATAGATGCCACAGACGATAACCTTCAGTGGTCGAAGAGATGGGTTACGTATATGCAAGCGACCAGAAGCAACTGTAATATCATACTTCAGCTTCCACATCAAAGATTATATGAATGGACAGAATAGACAGCACACTCGCTGTTAAGATCCTATCAATATTTCAGGAACAATGCGAAAGAGAATCACACACAGTGTCGATCCTCTTAACAATATCTTGGGAACCATACCTTGGTGTAGTCCTTGACTCTGTTAACCAAATCGGCCACAGGGAGTGTTTCATCTATGGCCCGCAGACCAGTTAGCATCTCCAACAACACCACGCCAAAACTATACACGTCGGTGCGATCTGTAGATGGGAAAATATCAAAACCCGAACATTATCAAGCTTACACGTGTTTATAAAAATGTACGAAAAAAGGAGCTCTCAGAGGATTTCGGAAGACACAGAGGTCGCACAATATTCCGAAGCAGTCAGTAGCTCAGACGCGAAAGCTCAGATACGTCGCCAACTATGGCACTAAAATTCACAGCCATATTTTCAAAGCAGTCTAGCTTAAACTGCGCTGATTTCCAGTTGAGGGGCTATTGGATTCGATACCTGTGATTCTTCCGGAAGAAGCATACTCAGGGCAGATGTAGCCATGCGTCCCATTCAGTCTCCTGGTCATGGCATGCGTGCCCTGCATCAGCTCCGGTGTAGATCGAACAAGCCCAAAATCAGCAACCTGCAAATATCACGACGTTCAAATATATAATCAATACAACAATACATAGGCAGGAATCAATATGCAAAATGGCGATTGAAAATCCTCCATGGACATAAATTCAAGTGACGACTAAAGGCGCTCACTAAAGGGCACGTAGCACTCACTTTAGCATGCAAATCTTTATCCAGCAGGATGTTGGCCGTTTTAAAGTCCAAATGCAAAACGGGAGGGGTGGTTCCTCTGTGTAGGTATAGAAGGCCTTTCGCAGACTGCAGGGATATGCTTATGCGATCGATCCATGTGAGGGGCAAGGCATCCACACCGAGTCCTTTGTGATCAAGTACATCTCTGACACTCCCCAAAGACATGTACTCATACACAAGGCAGAGATATGAAGCGCTGCGCACAATACCCATAAGTGAAACCAGGTGTTTGTGGCGGTACTGGAGTAGTCAAAGAAAGGAAAGGGCGAGACAATGAGCCAGTTGTCAGTTTCATTGAAGAAATGAGAGGCAAGCAAAGGAAGCTTCACTATTGTATTGACTCAATTCGCGTCTAGCACACACCTTTGCCAAGACTGCGACCTCCCGTGCGAATTCCAGGGCTCCCTGGTCGGACCCGGTCGATTGTGTCTTGATGGCGACAGACTGACCGTGAAGAACACCTGCGAACAAGATGACTCACGATTATATAAGTGATGCCATAAACGCCGAGATAAGGCATGTAAGCTCTCTTAAAGTCTTTTTAAGCCAAGGGGATCCAAATTAACCGAATTCCTTGTACTCCATCACTATCACTTTGCTAGCATTCACGTCGCAGAAGTATGCACTATGTAAAGACGTTGATAACTCTATGCACCTAAGAAAATGAATGAAAGACAAGAGGAAGCAACTAAGCAAGATATCGTACAAGGCATACTGCATTTTTGTCGAATGAAATTCGTACGCACTTACGAGAATTCAGAACACACGTGTTTAGGTATACACAACCACATACAAGATACATGAAACAAAATGAGCGCTCAGATTCAACTCCATACCTCTATAAACAGGTCCGAATCCGCCCTCGCCTATTTTGTTCTTGTCATCCCAATTATTCGTCGCATGTTGCAGTTCATCGTACTTAAAATTGATAAGACCCGAACCACCAAAGTCACTTGGTTGCGTAACGTTTGCAAGATATTGAAACTCCTGTAGCCGTCGTTCTGCGAGGTCTCGCTCGTCCTTGACCTCCTCCAAACGTTTCCGTGTAGTCATTAACTCGCGTTTGAGCGCGTTCTCAATGTTGCTGGATTGATACTTCAGAGATTCATACTGCACGATGCTGACACAGTCGTGATGCAGATCCATTGGTGCCTGGGCCTGGGCGTGTGATTGTATCTGTACTTGCTCGGGATCGTAGGTCTGCCACGGCAAGCGTTCCTGTGCATTTGGATGCTCGACCACTGATGCATGTGGTTGTGCGACTACCATTTCCCCCAGTGTTGGGTCTGCGGGTATCTGCGCTAGCCCTTGAGAAGGCTGAGTGGGTGCTGACAGTGGTCTTTGTTTGTAAGCCTTAGTCGGTGTAGCCTGCTGTATGCCAGCATTCATATCTCCAGCGCTATCAATATTCGCTTCGGATCTACCGAGCGGACTCACCGGGGCTCCTCCCATAGTTAACATCTTGCCGAGGGCAAACTGGCTATGTTCATCCTCCGTAATAGCAAGCGTTTTCATATTCGGGGTCGTGGGTGCTGGGTACGAACTGTGTCTGTATATAGAAGTTCCAACATTCGGAGCTCCATCACTATTAAACAGAGGGCTTCCCCAATATCCCCCTTTAGAATCCAAAGATTGCATGTCTTGCGCAGGCTGATTAGCGGATGATTCCTCTGTGCCCATACTCACACGATCTAATTGCACGCGTTCATTCCCATTTCCGAGCTTCGGAAGTACACATTCATCAGACTGACGCTGAGGAACAGTAGGCGTGAGGGTTTGAGCGCGCCGACTACTCGCTTCGTCGAAATACACTCGGTGCGGATGCGGTTCTTGATGATCATGTGTATTGGTAGATACTGTGATATTCACACCGTCTCTCAGTTGTTGTGATGTAATAGGCGACAGTGGCACGTGTCCAGCCCCCGGCGTTACCGCAATGTTGTCCATGTGTGTTGCCGCTATTTTGTGGGTGAGCATATGACCATCTGCATGCGCTTGGTGTAATTCAGCGTCCAACCTACCACCCAGATCCGGCTGACCCTCGGTACCCAACAGGATGTTCATGCCCAGGCCTGTCTCTGCGCCCGTGGAAGGGGGCAGAGACATGGCCCGTCGCAGCTCATTGAGCTCATCGCTGGCATCTACTATATTTCTCTCTCCGTCAACAGCATTGTCCTGCCCAGCTGTGGCCGAGCCTACAGTGCTTAGCTGAGTACCGTTTGCCGAAAACTCGAGGACAGGTCCAGAATTTTTCAGCGTGTGGGCGCGTGCTGGTGATTGCCGCCTTCGAGCAGTAATATAGGATAGAAGCGGTGACGTAGGGGCGTTCTGCACAGACCGTCTGCGAGCCGTAGGAAGCTCCAGGTGTGTGTGTGTATCTGTTTGCTTCATATCTACGGGCTGTTGCCCTCGACTGGACGCTTGGTGATCAGATTTCGCCCGATCACTCACGTCGACGTCTCGAGGCTGCCAGTCATACCCAGCATCGCCAGACGCAGGGTGTGAGTGCTGCTGGAGGTAGGCGACGTTATTCGATCGAATATATTCTTTAGCGGAATTAGCTGGTTGATTAGATGATTGCTGCGGCAGCTGTGAGTGGGCTGGCTGTGATGGTTGTATGTGTTCTGATAGACGTCGTTGGTTTCCAACCTGCTCTTGATGTGCAGTACGTGTTTGTGTGTCGGTGTGTGGCATAGTGTCCGTGGGTGAATATGCCAATCCGGGTGAAGGTGTAGATACGCGTGGAGACGGAAATCCCGCGATACTACCGAGCGTTTGCTGGTATTGAGGCACGATAGATGCATACACCGCAACCGGTTCGCTACGTCGAACAGGAATTTCTGGGCGTACGGTGGCAGCAGTGTTCACAGTTTCACTAGCTGTACGAGAAGCGTACATGAGGCCCTTGTCGTCCTGACTCTGAGGGAGTATATTCACTCGTGTCGAACTAGGTGGTTCCACATATGTCATCGAACCAGTACGGGTATGCCTGTTGGGATTTTCATACCTGGCCCGGTTCCCCCCATCAGGTACCCTGTCAGTCGGTCTATTTTTATCGCCCTCAAAGTTGAATAGGGACTCTGTTTTTGCTGAATTGGAGTGAGCATGTAATTGTGCCTGTCGATATTCAACCCCAGTCCCATGAGACGCAGTTTTGGCTAGTCTGCTTTGGTTAGTTCTTTCAGCATTCCTTCCTTCCAAGGCGTTCCAACCCTTCGAAAACGGAATATAAGAAGAATTGGTCAGATTTGATGTGCCACAGAAATAGAACTAAGAAAGAAGCAATCATACTCTACTCCAGCAGGCGTCTCAAAATTCTGCACAGATATATAGATATTGATTCAAATTAATATGCACGCTTCCATATATCTTTATATGCATATATAAATACAAAAACACATATAT